ATTTATTTATTCATTCATATATTTATTCAGAAGTCTTAAACCAGGAGAGAACGTGTCGTAATACATTGGGAAGTGACGCATGCATTTTGTTTCTGACAACAGGCATTAAACATCTTTATTTTCGTTTTCCAGTTTTTTGAAGCTCACAAACATAATACAAATAACAAACCCAAGATTTATTTTTTTGCTAAACTGTTTATTGCATAACTGCGTGTAAAAGTCGCGTGTGTAAATACTAATAAATTAGTGTGAAAGAACAGTGTATGTTGATAAAACAACGTAAGTATCCATTGAGCAAAATCGACTTCACATTTCACACGTGATCTCTCATACTTATCATACCTCTAACATGCGCACGTGCCTGTCTGAGTGTAGTTTTCTAAATTGGACCAGCACACACATGCCATTGTAACCAGTCCCTATCCTTTAAATGATAGAAACTTTCATTTAATGAGGGATGTGATCGTTCTGACAAAGATTAAAAATATCAATAACTGACCTATTGATTAAAGATCGATTTGCCTCGAGGAAAACTAGATATAACGTTTTTCGAACATTAAAAACCCTCACTCGTTCATTTAGCAGGAGAATATATTTCAATATCAGTGTTAAAATAGAAACATTTCACAACGTCACCCGTAAGTCAGGGATGTCTCTCCAGGTAAGGAATATCGTTCTTTTTTCTCCATGGCGGTGATATTAGAATTCGGGTATTAACACCTATTTAATCAAAACACTAAAGGGGGAAGGGCGCCTTATATTTTCTTCTGGTTACTTTTGAAACATAATTACAGTTATAAACAGATAAGTAACATGTAACAAAAAGGGATACATTTTTCTAAATTCATTTGATTAGCATTGCGTTAATTAAACGCCGTATGTGTTAGTAGTACTGAAATGTGAACAAATGATAAGATACAAAGCCATGTAAACGAACATATTTCTCTCATAGACCTGATTCTAGTTTGTGAAACGATTGTATTAACTTGATATTCAAAACACTAGTAAAGCTGTGGACATTCTACCATTTTGTGGCTTTGAAATAATTTTTCTTTAAAAGAAAGGCAAGCATGTTGTACGATTAGATAGTGATATTGAAAGTCTCAAAGGATGAATGAAACACTATTATTTTTTATACAAAGTACTGTATAATTGGTGGTTGTTACGGGTCAAAATTTTAACGATTTTCTTTAAAAACAATAGAATTATATTTCAACCAATTAAAATTTCGCGATCTAGATGTAAAAGGACGTGTTATTCACAGTGTATCATTATTCAATGGATTAATTTTCACGATCACGTTAATGTACCATGAAAATATCGTCCCCGCGAAAACAATCGGCTACTCTTAAATGTAAACCCTTTACACAAGAAAAGAAATAACCCTTCTACCAAAACCGACGTTTTGTTTATATCAAAGGTTTTATACTAATATTGTACTTACGAAACACACATGTGCAATATGATATAACATGGAATTACAAAAGTTTAAAGACAAAATGGACTGATAAAAAACAGGACAACACTGTGAAAATATTCACTTGAAAGTAACTAACCACTTGGCAAATTTGTAAAACTAATATATACAGAAAAAATGGGGGTTTGATATCTTCTAATCGAAGATCATGCAAACACTGAGATGATTAAATTTTCAAAGTTACTGAAGCGGTTATTGGCTGCACGTAATGAATTTTTCAGGGGCTGTACTCTCGGGAGGGTGTTAGTTCGCCACTTTGTTTCAGTAATACGTTAGATGTACGTTGTGATGGCGAGCGAATCTGTAGGAGGTTTCAAACAAAATTTTCATTGCAATGCACGGAACAAATCGATTGATGAATTAACTTATGGCAAAACATCACCTTTTCTCTGCTTTGTTAGAAATTGGTCAATAAGTCACACACACATTGTCTTAACTTTTTAAGACATCGTCTGTACATGACAAAAAAAGTTCTGCAAAATGTGCAGATGTAGGAATAGAGGTATGCATAGATATATAAAAAAACAATCGTCCCCGAGTATGGACAATTAATCATTTAAAGTTTAACTTCTTGCACTCCTTTCCCAAGAGATGATCAAGACACAACAAGCATTCCACCAAACGACAAGTTCATCAATTAATATAACGAATTGCGACCACATACATATCAATAAAATGGACTTTCATGTGTAAATCTATTTCATCGTGTTTGCATAGAAAAAAGATTTCAACAATTAAGATAAATCTATCAATTTATAACTACATATTTAGAAAATTGTAAAGATATATTAAAAAAAACTTTCATTGAAATTTAAATTCTAACAATAATATGTACAAAACATGTATTAAGAGATACACCTCCACCAGTATCAGTGAATGTCAGTATCACTTACATAGATATACAGGACAGACAGAGACATGTAATCCAGACTCTGTACTTAAAGTTTTAGTGATTGGTAATAAAAAAACTGCATTGTAAGCACAGTTTTTGATAAAAAGGAAAATCTGCTTCTAAAGCGCAAACTGCTTCAGATAAATGGAGGGTCAACACAGTCATTAATATATCTGTGGAAGTACAACCTATTGTATATCAGTGGTAGCTGATATCGAGGCAGAACCAAAACATTGATGACAGGATATAGAAGAACAACCAAATTACCGCTGACAGGATATGATATAGAGATACAGACGTATCAGTGTTGACTGGATATGGAGGTACAACCAAGTCACTGGTGACTGAATAAAAAAGGTGCAACAAAATCAGTGACAGCTGGATATAGAGGTACAACCAAGTCACTGGTGACTGAATAAAAAAGGTGCAACAAAATCAGCGATAGCTGGATATAGAGGTACAACCAAGTCACTGGTGACTGAATAAAAAAGGTGCAACAAAATCAGCGATAGCTGGATATAGAGGTACAACGCAGTCATTGGTGACTGAATAAAAAAGGTGCAACAAAATCAGCGATAGCTGGATATAGAGGTACAACGCAGTCATTGGTGACTGGATATAAACGTATAACTAAGCTACTGGTAGCTGAATATGGAAATACAGCTGGTGGTTGGACAGAAGTACGACCAACTTAGTAGTGAATTGATATAACAGAACTATCAGATCAATGGTGACTGGATAGAAGTGATAATACAAACACGACAAAATCATTGCTGTTGGGATAAATGTATAACCAAATGATTGTTAATGGTGATTTTCATGGAAAGTAGACAAGCAAATGTAGGTTGGATTGAAAGATAACAAAACAATGGTGGTTCGATTGAGGTCCAAACAGGACAACGATATCATGGATTCAAAACGCTTGATAGATAGATAATCAGATTCTGGACTTATTTGGTCCAATAGTGCGACAATAAGACCACTCATAACTGGTTAAACAAGTGAAGGCTGTGTATCTTCATAAACATATCAATGGTGACATAATTTATATATATATATTTCATGTACAAATGTTTACGCTAACGTATAACTTGTACATATTGCTGAGTATATCACTAACTCTACAATAACATTTACCTCGCATACAAACAACTGTAAAATGTAAAAATCTACTTGAAAAAGATTTGAATTTGAATACAATTGTGATTTAAAGAAATAAAATCGAGCACTTCGGCCTGATCGTTATTCGAGCTGATCAGTTGTAGACTCTAAATCAATATTACAAATGCTATTTGAAGAGGGCTACAGAGACATAGCGTTGACGACTTATATAAAATGGATGGCTACTATACACTACAACTTATAAAATGTACAAATCGTGATCTCCGTATATTATTTTAATACAAATTAATCTTCTAGCAATTACAATATTATGTTTGTAGTACAAATGATTATATTGATAGAGTCTACTAATGTCATAAAGACGTGTATATGTACACGTGATAAGGATTCCTGCCTCCAATATATGTCATACTGTTACTATTCTTACCAAGGGACCTGTCAAGAATTCCCGACTCATTGTCCATATAGCTTTATAATACATATGTATGGACCATGGGTCGGGAATTCGTGTCAGGTTCCTGTGTTTTTACACACTGGTCTTACTGCTTTTTGCAAACATTTTGAATCTTAAGACAGACTAAATTATATCTACGAAAGTTGGAATAACTTTTTGACGTCCTGCAACTTTGCACGAAAACAAGACGTAAATACTACATCGATTAGTTTAAAAAAACGAAAAAACTGTTCATTTGATATTAATGATAAAAGTAACAAACTAGGCGTAAAAATAGAATTGTTTGTAACTTCCAAACGTGTCAAAGGAGTTCAAAAGTCACGAAATTGGCTGTTACTGAGGATGTATTATGTTGCCTTGCAGCCAATATCTAAGCCAGGCGTAACAACCAAAGGATGGCTACTCACGCAACCTTTGAATTGCTTAATACAAACAGTTATGTGACTTGGTGTAGGCAATGGAGGTCTGGTGCAAGGAATTTCGAAAAGTAGATAAGATTTCGAAAAGACAGTAAAAGACATGATAAATAAATAAATAACCTCTAAGGGATTCCATGCATACAAATATTCATATTTACATCAATGAGAGTCATATATGATTATGTTCTTTGTTGAAGGCAGTAGGACGTAATTATATCGTGTTTCATCCCTAATCGGAGTAGAAATTCAATAAAGAATAACATGGTTGCCCTAAAGCGGAAATCGAAAATTGTAAAACCTTAGCACCTCGTTTAAAAGCAGGTATGATGCTCGGAATTCCAAAGAGATTATTCGGAATCGTACGTGATCATAGCCCCTGGAATAGCGAGAATGAATAGATACATACTGTTTACATTATGTAAAATCCTAAATGAAAAGCAATCACATGCGAGTGTAGTATTGAAGGCCTCGACTTCAAAATATGCTGTTTTGAAAAATTGATTAGGGAAGAACATTGCGAAAAACAGTTGTCAAGTTGCCAATCAATTGGTTGAGATACATCCATATTCTGAACCAGTTTACATTTTCCCTACCTTTCACAAACCAGAATAGATTTCGATTTTCCTTTTGATAGTTTTAAGAAATTACATATCGAATAATTTTCACCTTTCCGTTTGAGAACCCGACCCACATGTTGCCCGCTTTATCTGACGTCATAGCTGTGATTTTGACGTCACCAACCAATACTTTACCGATGACCTTGCCTGTTTGGCTGTCCATTACAAACACACAAGATTCGTCTGCTACCACTAAGTTGTCGTCCTTGTCATAACATACATCCTGTGGGTGGAAAAATGAACTAACACCTGGGTCACCGGCTTCCTCTGGTCGTTTGTATTCTCCAACCCCAAAAGTGACGATGCTCCCGTAATGTCTGAATTTCAAGTTTAAATGTTTGTCCAAAACCACAATGCTGTTAGGATTAGCATCCCAGTTGACAATTGCAATGTCTCCAGTGAGTGGACTCTCAGCTATTCTGTGTGGAAGTGACACCAGCTTCTCTCCAGACCTGTCACATTGGGCTACGTCGACTATCTCCGAAATAGCTTTGGAGAACTTGACGAGCTGTCCTGAACGAAGACCTGCAATTAGATGATTTGATGAGGTAATCGAGTAGGGTGTAGTATTCGTTGTTGCAAATGTCATAGGGTCGTTTGTGAGGAAGTTCTTAATGGTGTTGTTTGTACAACTCAGCCAAATTGTCGGGCGCTCCCCCTCGCAATCACAGCTCACGTCACAAATCGGGAAGTCGACCTTCAAGGTCTTTACCAAGCGGCCCTTGTCAGACATGAGGCGTACCTGTCGACTAAATACGGACGACATCCAAACTTCCGCCCCTTCTGATGAACTCATGGCGTACACATCCGGAGCCCCACTTGAGAACTCAGATATAACATTTATCTCACGAACCTTTTTTTCTCCAGTATCTTTGAGCTGGAGCTGTTCTTCCTTTCTGGACTCTGTTGTGATTTTCCCAAATATAGTTTCCAGTTGCATTGTTGTGTCAGCTCGATCGTTGAACGGAAACTCTAATTTTGTTTTTAAAGGAACAGAATACACTTTTCTTCTTAACAGTTTTTTCAGAGCTTTATGTTTCTTCATCACCATTTCAACATCAGAAGAGCTAAGCCATTCCTGATATGTTAGAAGTCGTTTTTCAAGCTCAGCCTTGAGTCTGCTTAGTTTCTCCTCGTGTTGGGAGATAACTTCAACTTCTTCATTATAGAATTCGTGTGTCTCTCTTATCAGTTTGCCAGCGACCCCATCAACAAAATCTTTTACTTGTTTTTGTCGGGCACCAATTCTTCCCTCAACAGTGTTACACTGTTTCTGCACACGGTCCTCTTTTATTCTCAAACCACCTAACTCAGCATCTACATCTTCTAGCTTCGCTGCCGCCTTTTCCAGTGCTTCTTCTAACTCATCTTGTTTTTCCTTCAGAAATAGGTCCGCGTCAACACAATCATGACCACGATGAGAATTAGACACACACTTGTGGCAGACTGGTTCATTTTTACACTTCATACAAATCATCTGAAGCTGAACTTCCGGGTGTTCTTTACACAAATGTTTGTCGTTTTGTAGGGCGTGAGCCTGGTTCAGCGCCATGTTAGCTTGTAACTCTATGATATGCATGAAGGCGGTTATCTGAGGTTTTCCACCTGTACCCGTCACACCTGACACGCCGCAAGTCTATGATTCCTATCAAGGCGTAGAGGTAACGACCTTGCGTGAGACTCACCGGCCCAAGTTACAATGAGGACGACAGCCGCGAGGAGACCGTTTATACGCTTGCTGTATCAGCCCAGCTCACCGCATCAGTAGTACAGAAGCGCAATGTTCTCCAATAATACACCAGAGAGAATGATTGCATGTGTGTTTGTTACTCGTCTAGATCGTTGTCGCTGTTAAACTTGCTATATCAATCATATACATCCCAGAGTGCAAAGTAGGTTGCTGCGGAAATTTTAGATCAAAATTGCATTTGTATTACACATATAATAGAACGGTAGGTACTCCAGTAGTGAACAGATACGCTATCATTGATTCTCTCCGCCACCTAATCCCACCTGTCGTATAGCTTACACTAGCAGATATAGTTTACACAACATTTCGGCAATACATTAAGTAAAATATCCATGAGTGTATTCTGATCTGGAAGCATGTATATATAAACTGGGTATAAGTGTCACAGGAGGAAAACTCTTGTGGTAGGTATCATTGAAAAGCAAGTTGTGAAATTACAACCCAGAATAAACAATAAATCAATGCCCTCACTCCAGACACATTTGGAACACTAGTTGTGAATTCTGTAGATATTTAGGAAATAACGTGAAAATTGCTTCATAAATACTCCACACAAATTCGAGAGGGAGAGTATGAGTTGTTCTACGACAATATCATATGAACCAGTATTAATTCTAGATATGTTCGTTATACTGAAGTGTCACCAATTATACAAAGGATGGTTTCTAATCGTATTCATCAATACTTTGTGTCTAGAATGCATTATTTTGGAGGACAGATAAAACTATAGATAAGATGGCTCGCTAGAATCCGCATGACAGGACACTGAAAACAACTAGTAATGAATATTTAATTTCAACAATATTTTATTCAATATTTGACCGCTTAACACATACATAGGATAGTTATGGGATGGGAAAACAAGCTTAGAGCTTATATTAATTTGATCTTGTGTTTTGCTTTTCTAAAAGCCGAGTTCCATGCGTCAGGAATTTCCTGGTAATCGCATGTAAATATCACATGACAGATCGTATAGCAAACAGCAAGTCGTGCTGCCGTGTTTATCATCTAAATCAGTACAGAGTGAATGTATTGTCTAAGTTCAAACAAATAACAGCATAGTAACTTCAATTAGATGTGGGGATTTCAGCGCTATGTAATTACATTTGAGATCTCAATGTAAATATGTGGTAAGTTCCTACAAAGAGGTTTGTAGTCAATACATTAGTGACTATGCACTGTTAGCTTGATCTCCCATTTTATTTTGTTATTTCGTCGTTTTGCGCCCTTGTCAATATGTCTTCCTGTGATTCATGTAACAATAGCAAATGTTAAAATTCTTTGTCATATTTACATCGTGATTCAGTACAGTGTGGTCAACCTTAATGTGGGTCAGTGTTAAACTTTCACATCACATCGTTACTATTTCACATTTTATGTTGAGTTGTTTAGTATATCATACCCGATTCAGCATATGCATTGTCACGGTCGACTTAACTTTGTCATGTTGTCTGCAACAAATCGATACTGCTCCATATGTGTCAGTGTTCTGTCATCAATACACTTATCATAAATATTTATATTGGACAAGTTTCATTGCATTTCAGAAAATATCCGTGGATATTTAAATTAGTTTATTGTAAATATGGTCATTTTTAATTAAATCGACATCGCCCTATCTATCGAGTATGATAAGAGATCCATTCTGATAAAACAACTTAACAAGCTTCATAATGAGATAGATGTAAACCATAATCATGGCTTTGTGAAAAATTCATATGGAACTACCATGAACACACCAGCGAGAACTGTTCAGGAGACTACAACAATGACAATTCCACCGATAAAACAACGAACACCTTCATTATTCTTTGTTTGTTTTGTAACGATTAAACATTCATTATCTGTCTGGTACAAATGAGACTATTCAGCGTACCTTTAATTTGAAGCTATTAGCGTGAAGTATTGATCTATCACATTGATTTTCTTTTCATCGAGTAGAAAGCAGATAATACACATACCGATACGGTAGCGTAGTCATTTTCGCTGACGGAGTAACGAGTCACGTGGGAAATATGAATATTAATCATTTTAAAGATGATACTCATGAGAACACGCGATGCTATTTCAAACTTGAAACAAGTAATTATAATAATACGAGATAGTGTTATTCATAGCATTGAGTGTGTGGAAATACGTCAATTATGTTCTCTTTTACTTCATGAAAATGCTTCCAGGGTCAATATCCAGCTTTTAAAATTCCATTCGTTTTATGACTGTGTTACACGATTGTTTGGGGTGGTAATTAAAATCATCTTGGTATTCGGCAGTGGGAAAGATTAAAACTACTTCCAGTTATTTTTGTTTCTCTAGCAACCAATGGTGTATATTTTAAAATCGAATATCTATTCTATATTTATGTTGTTTCCGCGAGATAACTAGTTAATGAAGTTTCTGCTAGTGTAACAAGCATTATTTGGGACTTTTCCATACCTGTGCTAGGTCATGCTTATACAAGTAATTCTAAACTCATTGGCTACTATAGAAGGTAAGTAGTACTGTTCACATCCAAGTCTACATACATATAGAGAGTACTGGATAGAGGAACACTTTAATTTGTGATGTAGAACAATTAACACGTATTATATATAAGCCTGTAAAGGTGTATGTTTACAATGACTTGTGGTTCTGATCGTTCATGTTCTTTTGGAGTAGTTTCCGGAAGATAAGGCATTTTGAAACATTGTTTCCTGACAAGATATCTTGGCCTTGATGGAGTTTGGGAAGGCAAACTGCTCTTCCACATCAGGACGGTTGATGGAGCTAGCCTAATGTCTACTATATATCACTATCTAAATGAAAAGTCACGGGCAGAAGATATGACATTAATTTCACCGAACTCATACTCTTGACAAAGAATATGTCAATGCCTCTAATGTCAAAGTGAAGAGTTGCAATCTTGGGCACATAAACTGTTAATGCCAAGTGGTTCGCCTAACGATCGGGATAACACTCGCACAAAATGAAAATAGGGCTACATATAAGTCGATTCTAACAACCATTCCATGAGATAAAAGAGGTCAACCCTTCTATGCTAGAACAGAGTAATTACACAGCTGTCTGTTCCGACTCGGTCATAATGGATGGAAGCCAGCATCTAGATAGCACACCTCTGTGTTCACCACACCATGGCGTTGGTACTCATAAGAACGAATAATCACAAAGTCATTAATATCCATACGTAGGTTAAAAGTATCAAACGAACGAACGAATTACTTCTAAAGGAAAGCTATACAAAGAAATAATTAACACGGAACAGGCAATGTCGGACTTTCGTTAAGATACGTCAACAAGATGGTGAATGTTTTCAGATGCCCTATTTTATGCTTCGCCATAGTTATGTGAGTCCATCTGAAATTCACCAGATTTATGTTGTTCGCATTGCTATTGACTTTTAAAATGGCACTGTGGCTATCAACATACAATGAACTTCACCATTGAACTTTTTTCTCATGCCTTTAAAATGAATGTAATTATCGTGTCTGACATTTGCATATTGCAAAAAAAAAAGATGTCTACTGACATTAAAAAAAAAAAACCATACAGACGCTGTCTCTTGTCGGCGCCATTTTAGATTTTCTCTTTTAAAAGTGACATCAATAATTCAAATTGGCGATAACAACAACTCGAATTAATTAATATCAACAATTCGAGCTGGTGATATAAATAACTCAAATTGGTGATATTATTGAATATTTATTGATATCATTAAATATCTATTGATATCAATAATTCGAGTATAACATCAGATTTTGTAGATAAATACTAAAACGGCGCCCAACAGTCTATCCGATGGCGCACTGAATATAACATGTATCAGTGTAAGTATGGAATTCTGATGCCCGCTAGTTCTGTCAAAACATTGTTATTTATTTTGTGATAGTTATTTCTAGAAATAATTGGACTCTTGTGATGCACATTCTCACGATTTCTATTTCACTGATTCAGTAAATCGAATATATAAGTCGTGTAATTTACTGTGTGCAGCTTTCGTGTTGGGTTTCAAAACTATGTAACTTTCCTTAATTACTATTTACTAAGTATATATGTATATACACTTATTACAATGTACTATGTATATAGATATATATTTATTTGCTGTGCTTATATAGGTTTTGTGTCGGTAGAAAAAAGTTTCATTAATTGTGGTTTACACTTGAGATAATGAAGTGCTTTCGCTTTGGTTTTGTAACGCCATTTTCCACTGCCATGGGAAATTAGTTAAAACGAAAATGGCAAAGATGGCCTGTTGGTGTCATTATCCTTATTATGATATCGCCATTGCAGTTATCATATAGTGATACCTTTGATGGAAATCATATTACTAGTTAAAGCTAACATAGCTCGTATCGAAGTAAAAATTCCGTTTCATATACGATTTTCTATAAAATTGTACGTAAATGTACATTGAATCGGGCACAAATATCTACTGCAACCTCTGCCATTTTCCAATACGATCTTCTGTTTTGACATATTCTTAAAAGTTCTTCAGATTAGATGTTTTTGATGATGTTCTACTGTGTTGCCATTTTCCAAAACATATTACTGTGTTGACATATTCTGAAAAGTTCTTCAGTTTTAGTGTGTTCGATAATGTTCTACTGAATTGAAATATTCTGAAACGTTCTTCAGCAGTTTTGGTGTGTTCCATTATGCCGTGATGCCATTTTCCAAAACGATCTACTGTATTGACATATTACAAAATATTTCATTGTGTTGACATGTTGCAAAGTGTTCTACTTTAAGGTTTTATATTAATTACTTATTGACACATTGTATTCTTTGAAGACCGAATAAGAAGCGAGAACTATAAAGTTTTTGCTATTCGT